CATCTGTAAGGATAAGGAAAGCCGCCATGTCGGCGGCACTGACTCCTCGGCCGCTCTAGCCTTTAGGACTCTAATGGTCGATGTGATTGACGGTCGGTCAGGCCAATCAACTACAAGATCGTTCAGCGTGCACGGCACCTCCTCCTGTACGGACTTCCGTTTTTTCCTGGTGTGCCGCCGTAAGAGTTCCCCCACCTTCAGCCTGCACGGAAGCAGCTCCTCCTCCCGACTACGGCCGCTCAGTGGTCAGCTGGAGCCTTTTTGCCGCCCTGTCGCTGCTGTCCGAGTGGCCTGTTTCTATATGCAATGAAGGACACATGTTTGCATGAGCTTTGCATACCGTAATATGTGTGTGTGTGTGTCTGAGTGTGTGTGTGTAAACCGCTTCCTTGGACCGCTCGTAGATTTTCAGGGCATTGACAGCTGTGCCTACTCGGATGTAAGTCCTGTTGTGCGCATGGGAATTTACTCCGAGGTAAAGTGTGTGCAGGAGTGCAATCGAAATGCAATGGGCACCGAGCTCCTAGAAGTGAGCTTCCTCTTCAAGGGGAAGCCTCAGCTGAGTGCCACATTAGCCTTAATCCAGGCAAGCCGCTTCTTCATGAGGTTGGCTCCTTAGGTGGATGTCCTCTAGCCACACCAGGCAAGCGTCCATGGGGAGTGCACAGCTTGGCGAGCCTGACATGATTTCAGGGCTGAGTTTTGACATAGCTTGTCTCCCTGCCTGTCAAGCCGCCTCTTCCTATGGGACGGCTCATCTTAGTCTTCGAGGTGATTGCCGCTTGGCAAGCCAGCCCTTCACAGGCGATACCTGGGGCCTCGGGAAGAGCAAGTGCCCAAAGCGTGGGGAGGAAAAGGAAAGGAAGCTCACCCCACACACAGGAGCAGGGCCTACAGGGTTGCTGCTGTGAGGGAAGTCCCTCGAGGAAGGGTCCCTGAAGGAGAAAAGGTGGCTTCCTCTTCGTGTGTGAAAAGGACAAGCCTCCCGGCAGTCCAACTGTTCCTCGGTATTCTTATCAAGGCAAGGAAGCCCATCCCTTAGTGGGGATGGCTCTGGCTTGCAGGGGTGCCAGGGAAGCTTCCCCTCCATGGCGACACCTCAGTGCAGTTCTAGTTTGGCATCATGTGTGGCAAGTGACCTGGTCATGAGGATGGATCAGTCTAGTTCTCAATTAGATGTTTGGCAGGCGCTGCGCACTTCCCCACATTTGGTGAGGGGCGACCCCCTTTGAAAAGAGCCTCGGCCTCACCTACCCTACAGGGTTGCCGCTGTGAGGATAAAAGAGCTCGGCTGGCTGCCTTGGCTTCCTAACCAAAGGAAAAGGGCCCACTTTAAATGCAGTGTCCTAATGATGACCACAACACTGCTCTGAGACTGCTCTCCTCCCAGTCCCCTCGTGGGCCAAGCATCTCTGCTGCAAGGAGGGAGGTGCAACTGGCAATACAGCCCTTGCCCCAGTCTATGGCGATTGGCCCCTCAATGCCACAGCCCTGCAGTTCCCCGTGCTTGGGAAGCCACAACCTGCTTTGAGGATCGTCTTTGTCTTTGTAAGTGCTGGGCAAGACGTGCTTCTCCACTTTGATGGCAGCCTCAGTCAGTGGGGGCAAGGGTTGACACTTCCTTGTTGCAACAGGAACTGCTGACTCCCATCCCTGATGACCTTTGTGCTACGCATCCTGCCGAGACAGGTCTCCATGAAAGCGCTCGCCCCGTTAAACTCAAAGTGGAAAAGGGGGTCCGGCTTCCCTGCGTGGCATAGTACCTGCTTCCCGGCAGGCCGCAGAGGGCATTTGTCCAGTGATAGGATGGCTCTTTGGCTCGGGGCATTGTGGTTTGCACCACTAGCCGCTCTGACACTCCTGTGTTGCCCATCGAGCAAGCAAGAAAGAAAGAGTCTGACTGTTTTGAAAGCCTGACTCGGAGCTCGGTGTCCTTTGCCCGTCTGGTGTGGTCACCTGCCCTCCCAAATGCGGCCCTCGATCAGAAGTGGCTCTACTGAGCCGGTGGGGCTCCCTCACTCAGAGCACACCTGGACCCATCCGTAGGGGTTGGTCTGTGTCCCCTGCTGCATTTGTCCCGCCAGGTGGTGCCTGTAACTGGGTGGCACGCACGGCCCGAGCGGCGACAGCAAGAATTTTTTGTGTGCAGCATGTATTCATTCAACGCATGTGGTGCCCCACTAGTCACAGGCTCTCTGGGCAGCCTGCCTCGTGCTAAACTGCAAGCATGATAGAACCGTGCAAAGCACAATGTAACGCTTACAAGCCCAAGGACCAATAATACTAAAACCCGTGAATAAATCAGCAGAGCTCGATCGTAGGAAAATAGGATGAAGAAGTCACCGATCTATCTATATTTGTGCATCTTTAGAAGCCCCTCCTAAAATACAACTTCAGCAGTTAGAACTGGTGAAGTATTGCGCCTTTAAGTCATGTCACATTGGCAGCAGCATAAAATTTTTTAAAAAGCGAGGAGGTGGAGTGTTGCCGGTGTTGTCCCATGGGTCTTCCTTATGCCAGGGAACAGTCCTCTTCACGGGGATGCCATGTGACATGGATGCCTGGCAAGCTGCCTTCCTAGGGAAGCAGCTCCCTTAAGTTCTGGCTGAGCTTCATGCGTTTCCAGCCCCTCCTCTTCATGGGGACAATTGAGCTTGGGGGCCCTTTGCAGTTTTGGCCGGTAGCTGTCCCCTTCAAGGGGATGGAGTAGGGCCCCAGCTGTGGGATGGCTCGCAGCCAAGCCAGGCCAGCATCCTCTTCAGTGGGGATGAACAAAGGGAGTTTGGCTTTGACTGGGGGCTGGCAAGCCAGCTCCCTCTTGGGGTCAGCTCTGGCTGAAACCAGGGGCAGCCACTCAGAGCAAGCGTCCCCTTCATGGGGAAGTCTTTGCTTAGCCCCGAAATCGTGCCCGCAAGCCAGCTCTCCCCAGGCGTGGCTCAGGGTAGGAACTGGCCAGGTTCATGCTAGGCAAGCCAGCCCTTCACGGGCAATCCACCTTAGTCAGACATGAGGGACAGTTTGCCTGCTTTTGCTGGGATGCGCCTTCTGATGCTTGTCCTCCCTTTAACTTTCCCCTGCCCAAGTGTGACATTCCTGTCCGGCTGTGGACCTAAGGAACGACCAAAGCATGACTTGGCGTCTTCTGATGCTCAGCAGCTCCTCATGGGAAATGACAATGTTGAAGTGTGACACGTGCTTTGGGGATGTTGGACCGGCTTACAAGAGTGAGTTTTGTGTTGCGTTACTGTTGGGGCAAAGACGTTTTCAGCAGAACTGCCAGGGAAGGCTTCTTGTTGTGGGCAGAGTTCGGCATGGAGGCAGGTTAGAGCGTGCAGGGAAGCCTGCCCTTCCAGGCACAGTGAGCGGAGTGCTGTGGTGACAGGGCCAACGGCGGGTGCCTACCTGGATGTGGCTAAACTGTTTCGGCCCATTGAGGTGCCTTTGCATGGAGTGGGAGGCATGTTCCAAGGCTGCTGTATTGCTGAGCCTTTGAGGTCTCCGCTCCAGGGTTTGTGCCAACCACAGTACTGGATTTTGGGCATTCCCCGCAGCAGCTGGTGAAGAAAAGGAGGATGGCAGGAACAGATGTGAGCAAGAGCCATGAATTCTACGCACTTGTGAACACACAGCTGTCCAAACCACAATCAGCTGCAGCATAGCATGTGGAAATGCAATGTTTTGTATTCTGATATTGTTTAAAATATCATGAAATAATCACACAACTGCCGTATGTACATTTTTGCAAATACCAGGCAAATTGTATTTACAAGTTTTTTATTTTAGTATGGCCCATTCTGAAAATTTCTACTTAATATTGGCAGAGACATATTCTAAATCAACTAATATTCAATTTTTTCTACTCCCTGCTTCCCTTACAATAAATTGATCTGAGGATGAAAAGCCATTTCTGATTTGTCTCATTAGTATTGGGAACTCTAACTCTAATCAATGTGTATGATTAGTATGGGGAAAAATCTCTATTAGACAAGCCAACTGTGAAAAGATAAACACAGGTGAGCATTTTTCACACAATTCTCTTTGCCTGCATTTCTCTCAAGTTAAATTAATGAATGGAGCTCTCCTGTTCATTATTTGGGAGAAAAACAACAGCTTCAAAGGACCTGATTACAATTGATATTATACTCCTCAAGAAGAGTTTTGTGCTGTTTTCCCTTCCAAACTGTTACTTGACTTGTTAGGTAAGTTACCGGCAAAAAACAGTTTCAAGGGGAGATTAAGAAAACCAGTCAGGCAGCAAGGGTTAGAGCCATCTTTTCTAGAGCTGTAAGTCCAATCCAAGCATTCCTTCTTTACAGAATACTAAAAGAACAAGACTTGATGGTCTACTGTAACCTGGAGCTTTGAATGTGTGCATAATTCAGTTAGCATGTGGGCAGCAGTACGTGGGGGCAGAGGCAGGACAAAAATGGCAAGATATAGGCAGGCACCAGCTATACAAGATTTTGAAATGACAAAAGTGGAAAGGTGCGGGATTTAGAAAAATGATTAAATAAATCACACCACAGATGCAATTCTAGAACATGGAAGCATGTGCAGGGAACACAATACACACAGATCTGCCCTAAAGGATCCTTGCTCCCAGAACAGGGTTTCCAGAAGCCTTGCTCTGTGGTTCAAGCATAGCAGCACATTAGCTTTCTCCTTTGTCCTCCTCCTCTTTCTCCTCTTCATCATCTTTCTCTCCTTTGAGCTTCTGCCGAGCAAATTCTTCAATCACAATATCCTCCTCACTGAAAAGAGTGAAAAAGGAGGTGAGACCCCCAAACTTTCAGATCAGTTGCACTATTCTGCACACCTTCAGAAATGCCATCAGAGCCCTACCTTCGTAATGAGAATTCAAGAGTGTTATTTTTCAGTGCACATCCTAATTACCAAGTTCGACATAAGTCCTTGGCAAAAAAAAAAAAAAAAGCCATTCCCAAACAATCCTCCAAACTTGACATCTCTGTATAACTGAAGCAGATGATGAATAGTGGATCCATCAAGTGCACAATTTAATGTGAGTCTGCAGAAGATGGAAAAGGGCGAAACAAACAGGAATGTTTTCCAAGTGCCAATTTTTCCACATGCCGGGCTTAAATTGGGAAAGGAGGAGTACTTTGCTTCAGCACTGTCAATGCGCTGGTCAAACAATATGGCTGCTCCCCTTTGCTCATGCGTGAAAGTGGCAGGGGAGGGGCAGCCCTTCCCCCATTTCCTCAGCCAGGAATTGTTCATCACATCCAGCTCATTCTTGCACTTTGGCAAAGTCCACTGAGGCAAAACCCTCCCAGCAAGGAGGGCTTCCTTGGTCTTTTGGGGCTGCTTTAGATGGGATCCATTTCCCACCTGCAATTCCTTTAGCATCGCAAATCCAGGAGGCCATCAGTAGCCATGAGGCGCCAGCCATTCTGGCTGGCCTGTGCAGCTCCCTGATTACTTGCAAGCAGGCAGTGGCTGTGGCACTTTCTGCCTGGTGCTTGAGGCCCAGAAGCAGATCTGTGGTGCTTAGGCAGGCACCCCAGGGTGGCCCAGTGGGAGAATTTGCTCCCTACACGTTCGGGCTCTGCCTGTATCCTTAGCTTTGTAATCGCCTTTTTGTTGCAGAAAGAGCTGGGGACGGGTGGAGAGCTGTGCAAGGGCCTCCAGGAACGGACCAAGGGCCTCAGTGCTACATGGATTGTGCTTGGCCAAGCTTTCTGGGTGCATTGCTCTTCCCCGGTTCCTGGCTGAGTACTGAGTATGTGGAGAATACTTGAAAAACAAACTAGTCTGTTATAATGTGATCCTATGCACATCTACTCAGAAGTAAGTCCCAGTAGTTAAGTAGCTCCCCCCCCCATATATAGGAATATACCCTTATTGTTTGTTTGTTTGTTTGTTTGTTTGTTTATTATTACAGTTTTTGTATGCCATCCCCTTGCTATGTGGCCTTGGGACGGCTCACAGAACCCTTGCCCTTTGTAAGTCCCATTTGACTCAATGAGACTTGCTGCTAAGGAAATGTGTATGGTGGAGCTGTTAGGGATGTATCACGACACTGCGGGAACAAAGAATTTCTTGTAATTGTACATTCCTTGTAAATTACAGTTAAAGATCTGTGAAGCATAGCAGCAGGGGTATTTGTGTTTCTTGTTGATAAACAAGAAAAGGCTAATCTTTAACCCCATAGTTTAATTTATTGAATGAAGAAAAAGGAAGATACAGAGCAATTAAAAAAAAGATCAATTACCTTCTTGGAGAAAAACACAAAGGTGCATCAAGATACAAGAAGAGTCCAGGATACGGGAAGAGAAAAGGGGAACATTGTAATTGTAAAAACTCTGCTTTAGAGGTTGAGCATCCACAACCTGTTCCCTGAAGAGACTTCGTGAGCAATCCTACTGCTTTCCAGGCTGGTCTCATGCCCATGCCACTATCCGGGGCCCCAGGTGGAGTTTGCAGCAGGTGCAGAGAGAACGGCATGATCTGCCGCCCCCACCTGTGCTGCAAAGGCGCCTCAGAGGGCTAAGGAGGGAGGGAGGTGGCTGGGTTGCAGTTTCAGCCAGTTCCTGCTGCGGGCCCAGCCAGTAACCTGGTCCTAACCATCCTCCTCCCCAGTCCTTCATCCAGATGCCCAAAACAGCTGCCCAGATGCGAGTCTGGGGCAAGTTGTGGCCGCAGTGGAGCTCCCACTGTGCCTCATCCATCGCTTGGAGGCTTGCTGTGAGAGGAGGGCCGGAGTGATGGGGCTGCCCCTTCAATGAATTCTTGGAAGCATTAGGGGTTAAATGGCACTGAAATGCCAAGGGTGCAGTTCATGAAGGCTTAAAGTAAGTGCAAAATACACAATCATTCTGACATTACTAGCTAAATTAATACCGATCAGAGTGACAGGAATCACTGTCTGGACTCCAGACAACCAGAATCAAACCTTGAAGGAAACACTGGAGGTTTCATTTAAAACTGAATTACAATATGTACAAGATAGGAGCCTTAGCTCTTAATGGTCGCTTTTCTGAAATGTGGATGTGAGCAGTACTTGATCTTTCTGCACTGATCTGCTTCTACCATTGGACAGTACAGAAATGTCATAAATAAATAACAGTGAAAACTTGAAATTATTAAAGGAAGATACCAAAATTCAGAAGCGTGTTTATCAACTCATTTGATTAATGTCACAGAGAAATGGCATTAACTTTTAAATTACCAGATTTGATATTTTATATATTTTCTTTTTTTAAACTCCAGCCATACTTAAGAAGGTTTCACAAATCCAGATTTGATTCTGTATTTAATTTTTTTGAGGAACTTGGGCTAGAAAGTCCAAAACATGATTAGCTCTATTCAAAACTGCAGTAACATAATGTGGTAGAATTTGGCCACATTTCATATTTATTGACCAAGCGTGTTGTTGTTGATAGTTGTTATGCTACAAATTCTGGTTTGGAAGTTTAATATTGTTTTTACCTAACAAAAGACTGAGTGGGAGATGGCTGTGCGATACGTTTTGACAAGGGGTAAAGGGGTAGGGATTGTAATTCATAAACAATTTTTGTTTTCAGTTCAACAGATTATTATTGATCCTGATGGTTACTTTTTGACTGTGGCTGGAAAACACAAACGAGTGTTTTGCTTACTATGTAGGAGCCGAACAACAACTTTCTGGTTATGTTTCATGATGGGCTACACCAGCCGGTTCTGGTATAGCCCTTCCCTCAGGGCTCCCAGCTGGTGCTTGTACCATCCCAGGTGGCTGCAAACACCAGGGCTGCTATTCCTAGGAGGCCAGCAATGGCTAGACTTGAAATTCAGGCCTATCTGGCTGCATCCAGCCTAGCTGCCCCTTAGAGGTTTGTCCCTCCGGATGAGAGAGATTATGCATTTATTTCTTCCATCCATCCCAGTGGCTTTCTGTTATATTAGGACATCCTTGCTATGCCAAAGCAAGGGCTAATTCATGAATGAACAAATATATGGATTCTTGGATGCCTTTGTTGACGTTTATACACAATCACCTTTAATAATCGGAGTATATTTTGTTATGCATAAAATAAGCAAGGAATGTAATCATATTCATAATAAAATCAAATGAATCTTTATAAAAAAACTAATACTTTTTTTGCTATTTAGGTTTTGCTTTTGAAATTTACAATGAAAACACTGTTTTCCTGTACCTTGGTGTAGCTGTCAGTAATAAATGCATCAGAGGCGGTCAGAAGAAGAAAGAGAGAAGGAGGCATGTACTGGTTAGTCCCATTAATAGCTATTGTTTTTCTAAAACACCTAAAAAAAGATAATCCTGACTCACAGTCCAACTGAGACTGATCACGCAAGGGAGCAAAAAACATAGAGAGGAGCAAGAAGATGTTCACAATCACACAGAACTGGAAGCAGAACAAAAGGATGAAAAGGCAGAGAAAGAAGCAGAAAATTGAGATGTTCTTAAAAGAGGAGAGCAAAGCTGCCAAATGACGATTAAACCAAGTACTACAGAATTCTCCATTAAACAGCAGCAAATGAGAAAGCTCGTTTAATGGGTGGCCTAAAACTATGTTAGTTTTCACACAACAAAAAGTATAAAGAACTCAAACATTACAGAGAAGGCAGTGAAGAGAAGGTGGAGGGAAATCATGGCTAGATTTGCTTTCCTAGATTAGCCCTTTAGATCAATCGGGTATCTGTTGCTGGAGTTGGCCAGCTAGACGGAGAGAGCAGAAGGCTGCCGAACCTGCCACCAGGAACCGGGTTCAGACTAGTCCATATCTGGGCTCACGGATACATTTTGTACTAGACCGATCTTAAACATTCATTGATGTACACACCCTTTATATTATTCCCCTTCTCAGTGGAAGTTAAATGGCCAGAATGGAGTCTCTCTTAAAAAAGGGAACTGGGGGCGGATCGAGACATGTGTGCGCCTGTTCTGAGCGCTGTGGTTGGCACCTTGTGAGGATGCATGCGAGGTGGGCGCTGAGCTGGGCTTGGCTGGGCTTACAGGGGGACGGCAGGCTTTTCTACAGTAGCCATGAAAAATGAGCCGTGAGGAGTGCCTGCTAGTCTTGTTGCTTCAATGCCCTAGTTGACCACTGCGGGAAAAGAGGCTGGACTAGACGAGCCTGCTGCATCTTCCGACAGGGCTTTTCCACACCATTCTTCCCGCCTTATCGCACAGACCCGGTTTCAGCTACAAGAGCGGCATGTCTGACAACTGTCCTCAGCTGAATAAGTCTGCTGCCTGCTCCCACGGAAGCAGCTTCCACCCAAAAGCCTTTACTTACTGTCTGCAGGTTTTGGATGCATCAGGATAACGGGCATCTCCACCGCAACGTCACTGGAAGGAAGATCACATGAGTCAAAGCGGGAAGCGCCTCGCGGAGAGGGAGCAGAGGGGTGGAGGCGTTCCCCGGCACCGGAGTCCAGCCAACCGAACGGACTGGCCTGCCTCCACCATGAGTAACAATCTGCTGCTAGCGATGCAGTGAGGGAGGCACCCCGAGGGGCACTCATTCTGACTGGGGAAGTATAGACTTGGGTAAATCCAGTCTCTCCGCATTTGGTGGGTTCGTCACATCATGCTCTAACTGATACAACTGGATTTTCACAAATGTGTTGAGACACGTTTGCACGCATTTACTTTTGCACTTCCCGAGAAGTTCAAATCCCTCCAAAATGCATTTTCATGCTTTAGTTGATGGGGGTAAATGTACACTTGCAGGTGGTGGGTTTTATGTTTTGTATTCTTCTGTGATTAAATTTGTAGAAAATTATGGGGGAAAGGCCCTGAAGTCCCTGAAATCTGCACACCTGAGGAAAAGTTGGTCCACTGTGAAATTTGAGGGTCAGATTGATAGAACTCTGGACTCATCTGAGTGCACTGTAGATTTGTCCAATATTCCTAATTATGAAACAATAAATGAGAAACCCCTTCTCAATAAAAGGAGACAGGTATCAATAAGTCAGTTCTTACCTTGATGTGAGATCCCCCAGGATTCTGTGGAAAGAAAAATGCAAATTGACCAAAAAACCCTCTGCCTTATGACCTGACAAACCACCGACTTAATTACACCGTAATTGCACTTCGGGTTCTGCCTTCTGCCAGTATGAATGTGCAGGCTGCAGCCAGGGATTGCTCCAGCTTGTTGTGCTCCCAGGACATGTTCCGTGGTGCCCAAAGAGGTTCCCTACACGCCTCACTTTTTATTTAGCAAAAATAAAATTTCTTCAGCACTGAAGACTCTGAGTCACCAGAGGGATTCAGGACATGTTTAGGAAGCGGAGATTGAAAGTGGATGCAGAGTGATGCTTTCTTCTCCAGCCACCAAGGAAAAAGTGGAAACTGGAGAAGGGACTTCTGCTGGGTAAGCATATTTGGCCAGGGGGAGCAGCAGTGGGCATGCAGGGGGAGGTGGCCAGGGATCCAAGGGGAGTGGCCCTGGGAAGGGACGGGGACTGCCCGGGAGAGGGAGGGGAGAGAGCTCAGGGGGATATTGGGGGTGGGGGGCTGAAAAAAGGGAGTGCAAGTTTGTTCTATGTTTGCAGTGAGGAGACGGGCCTGTGCATGCATGAAAGAGCATCTATGGGGCACTGAGCTGGGGAGAACCCAAAGGATGTGGGGAGATGAGGCAGCTCATGGAAGGGCAGGAGAAACGAGCTTGTTTTTCCAAACCAGTTTCTGCTGGTGAGGGTGCAAGGGGCTATGGAGTGCCCTGGGGCTCAGTCCCACCTCTGGCTTGTGGTCATTTGTGTGGGGCACTTGTACTGTGACCAGCAGTGGCTCGCATGGCAGCCCATCTATGGTATGGGCCAGGGTGCTTTCAAAACGCAAAGCAGGACTCGATGCCCCAAAAGATTGCCTGCACCTGCTTGGGTTATATCTATCAAAGCATTTTAGACATAAGGACCCAAAAGCCGTAAGCTGGGGCACAGCGATCATCCTAGTGTGTCTGCTTTGCCTTTGTATCCGAAAGATGCTCACCCTCCTCTGGATACCATCAGGTTGACTTTCACTTTGTAGGAAACAAGGATCCCAAGTACTTCCTTGTCCATCCCAGGTCTAAGACTAGGAGGGAAAAACATGAGGTGTTTAATGATAGTGACAGATGCAGAGAGCAATAAGCAGCATTTGGAGAACGGATTGTTTTCATTTTAACAAGGCTGAATCTGGCCTGCAGCAACGTGGGCTCCCTCGCTGCCTGCCCTGACCCCCATCCATGCCCTAGAGCCTGGATGTGGGGAGAGGCTCCTCAGTGGTTATTCTCAGTCTGCAACTGAAGGTAAACTGGGAATTCCCATGCCTGCCGCTCCTCCTGTCAGATCCTTTATAGCTGATCACCGATCAGACACGGCTGGCCAGGGAAGCTTCATGCACAGGTGCTTTTGCTGCTGAGGGAGTCTGTGCTCACCAAGCCAGGTGGAAGGGGGGCTGCTTCACTCCACCCAGGATTTCTCTAGCAAGGGAAAATCCAGGCAGAGCTAAGCTGAGCTCCCTAATTCGGTCAAGGGCCCTTAACCCGCTCAGTTTTGCCTGCCACTCAAGCTCCCTAGTGGGAGAAGTTAGAGGGCTGGGCAAGCTGTCCTTGCTGGCCTGCTGAGCAGACATCCAGGTGGCACTTTGGGTGGTGGGGGACAGCTTTACTGCTGGCGGCCCACTTCAGGAAGCCCATGTGCAGGGAAGCTGGCCTCCCACCAAGGAGACAGGCAAATTATTCATCCAGTACATTGTCCAGGGAGCAGAGGACATCCAGGGAACTGGCCGTGCCCCTGTGATATTGCTTGGCCTCTGGAGGGCCGGGTGGATGGTCGTCCAGCCCTTGCCCTGCACACGGCTCCCCATCTCTCGCTTACACAGTGGTGGAGGCCAGGTTGGTGTCCTCGTGCTTGAGCTTGCCGTCAAGGGCCAGGCCGCGCTTCTCACGGTTGTCGGATAACCTCGGAGTCACACTGTAGCTTTTGGAGAAGGTGGAGTTGGCGGCCACATTCTCTCTAACAATGGGTGAACAGAGACAAGGGGGGAAAGTTGGTATGAATGACGCCAAGGGCTATTGCAATTGAACATTTTGAACTGCTGAAATGTGGCTACATCAACCAGAAATATTTGCAACAGGGTATTAATTGACAAAGTATCTTGAAGCGTGCAAGTCAATGCTCAGTGTCTAGCTGTATTTGAGTAGAATTGCACACATTTGGCATTTGAAAAAAGTACAAAAATATGGAAAGAAGTGGCATATTTGCATGTAAAGCTAACCTGCAACCCACCATGGGCCCAGCAAAGCATCAGGATTATGTGGTTTTTAGGCCTCCTCCCACAAATATCACAGGAGACCTGTGGAAGCAGCAAATCTCCCTCCCACCCCTGCGGCCGTGGCAGGTCATTTCAGGCTTAGTCCAGCATGATCAAAGATCATGGAATTTGTTCAGAGGCAAAGCTGAAATCAGAAACAACCTGGCTGCATCCATTATCCCTCTGGGCTATTAGGGTGGTATATAAATGCAAATAATAATAATAATAATAATAATAATAATAATAATAATAATAATAATAATATGTTTCCAGCCGCTTCTACTGAAAGGCCCATAGAGCCATGCAAAAATGAATTGATCCACACAATCCTCCCAGCTTCCTTCTAATTCAGCACTGGCTACTTACGTGAACTCCTCTGAACACACGACCTTTGTGTATTTGTCCAGTGAGTAGAGAACAACGTCTGTGATCTGCTCAACTAGAGAGGAGGGGGGAGGGGGAGTAGGAAGCACCATTAGCTTGCGAGTAGAGCTGATCTTACATGGACATTGCACGTTCCATAACAACCCTCAGTTCTAGTTTTAAAAGTATTTACAAAATCTGCGATGTACTGATGTTGTTGGCCTTCTATAGCTAGAAGGGAATGCTGGCACTCCCCACAGAAGGCTCTGGGAATACTTACGAGTAATACCAAAGCGTCATAGTGATTCGGTATGATGGGTGGGTGAAACCCCTCGGGCCCCACGTCCGTCACCCACACCATTTTTCCTGACCATTTGCTGTAGTATTTTGTGGGTTTGGGGTAGTTTCTTCCCCCATAAGAAAGGAGGAGCTGCCTCACCTACGTGACAGCTTTCAGCCAAAACACCTCGTCGGGCTTTTGGACCTCTGCCCTGCTGCCTTCAGCTCCACTCAGCACTGAAACACAGCTGCCAAGAAGACCTGAGAAACTAAACCTGGCCCTCCACACCTCTGCTGTACTGGAGCTGTTTGACGGGTTTCACCGCATATGTTCTTCCAGTCGGGTTATCAGAATTGTGCTACATTTAGCACATTCCAGACCTGGAAGCTGGTGTTGTGCCTGAGAATGATGCGGGGAAGTTGCAGCGGGAGGGAACATAATGAGACGAGTTCCAAAATATGGGTTGGCTTTTGGTTTCAGTTCACTTGCATGAATGAGCTCTGGGAATTCTTGCTCTCGTTTTTTCCTTACCTGATACTTTAATTTTCTTCACAATCTTGTTTGTGGTATTGTTAATATTGACATTAACCCCAATAGGATCTCCATGGTAATAAATCTGAAATAACAGTGGGTTTTTGCTTAAGTAACAAGATGATGATCATTTATTTAATTTCTACCCTACCACACAGCAGTTCTCTGAGCACATTTCAGCAAACCATAAAACAGGCAATAACATGCCATAAGACTCATAGGGAAAAGATTAAAAGGTTTAAAACAGCTAACACAAAAAATAAGAAAGGATGACTCTGAAGCAGCAAGCCCCCCTGGGTAGCCAGGGATGTCTTCAAAGGCCTCTGTGTAAAGGGATGTCTTAACCTGGCACTGGAAAGAAGGCAAATGAGAAGGAAAACCAGGAGGAAACGCTCCACATTCACATAGATTCTTCCAGGACCATTTGGCTGTGCATCTCTTATGATACTGTGCCATCTACTTTTCTTCTAATCCTAAAACCAGCTTTGCAGAGTTAGAAAAAGAAATAGGTCGACATCAGCATGGAAAAAGATATGCAATCCAGGTGAAATGCATTTGAGAAAGCAAGGTGCTCAGCACTGGGGGTTTTATGTCTCTGTGAACAGGAGGCAGAGACATACTGCTGGGGGTTACAAGGCATGAAGCAAGGGGTTGAAGAAGAGCTGGGGCCTCTTTCACAGGCAGATCTCATAGGCAGAAGTCAAGTACTGCCTCTTCCCATACGCGACTACCCAGACCCAAGGATCATAATCTGAGGACTCTCTGAGGGAGCTCTCTCTGAAGGAAACAAAGGGCCTTCTCGGTGGTAGCACCCCAACATTGGAATCAGCTCCCCAAAGAGGTTTGCGTGGCACCCTCGCTCTACTTCTTTCAGCACCAGGTAAAAACTTTTTCATTTGCCCGTTATTTTAATAGTTAAAGAAATTTTAAAAATATTTTAATATGATATTTATTGCATTTTGGTCCTACTGTATCTTTGGATTAATCTGAATTGTGGTTGCTGTGAGGGTTTTAATGAGGGGCTTAATATTAGTCTTATTTTATTGCTTAGTATGTATATAGATTTAATGTTACTGTATTATTGTGTATGTTGATATTATGCTTTTGTAAGCTTTCCAGAGAGCCATCTTGGCTAATGGGTGGTGCAGAAATTCAATAAATAAATAAATAGGAGGAGGAGGAAAGGAAGGAAGGAATAGAAAGAGTAAGCACAAAACAAATGTCACACAAGGAAAGCTGAAAATAAGTAGGCAGGACGAACCTCCTTATCCAGGGAAGCCTCAAGATGCAAAGGCTTGTCCGACATCATGAATTGCCTTGTAGTCTCAGACTTTGGTGCTGGGCCTGTACTGATGGGCGCAAACTGGACCTTGCGGATCACCAGCCGCACTGAATTCCTGTGAGGAGCAAAAATGGCCAAGCAGGCCAGAGCGAGACACACGAGCAGCGGGAGTTAGCTCAGATCATTCTTGGAAAATTGTCCTCCACCTTTTTGCATCATACTAGTGGGCAGTAGCCTTCTTTTGAATTATAACTCATCTTGAATTGTAACTAAGTTGAAGGAATGTATGGAAAGATCTAGAGGACACTTTTTAAAAATTCTTAAAAAAAAGAATTTTCTTTTCTGCAGGCTGTTTCATGCTTTTAAGAAGCACCACAAATGAGAAGGACCCCTTCTAATCCAGAATGAGTCAAAGCGGATGGAATGAATAAACACAACTAAAAATAGGTCATACAGAATAACCCTCCCCCTCTGATTAAGAGAAACTAGCAGATGATGAAGTGTAGGGTCAAAGGGCTAGGGTCACCCCAACCCAAGCCCCTTTGGCAGCTGAAAGACTAATCTACAACACCGGAAAGACAAATAGCACCTGCGATAACACAGTGGGTGGAGAATTTAATGAAGTGTTCAGTTTTTGACTAGGTGGCTTTTAGGCATACGCTAGCAAAGAATAAACATATGGATATTTGGGGTGCCTTTTGTTAAGTCTATGCATAATTTTAATAACAGCAGTATCTTCTGTTATATACTAACACGTGTGTGTGCCCGTAATTAGTCCAATGGGCCTTTGTATGTTTAATTAAAAATGAAAAAATGCCCTTTTTTCCCTCTTCCCTCCCCATCTGTTTTTCCTTTTATACTGTTTCTTTTAAGCAGAGGGGCATTAAGAGGTTTTGTAAAGACGTAAGCATGCAGGAGTTACTCAGGGAGTCTTTTGATCAGACAGCAGAGTTCTATGTAAATGCAGAACTGTGCATGCTAGGTTACCTCTTGTGAATTTTCTCCTCTAGGTTTTCAGCACAAAATCCTTTCACCTCGAAGTCAACACCGCAAGACTGGGGAAAACACGCAAGAGCGAGAGTTACAGATGTCTCCAGGCAGGTTTCCCCTTCCCTGCCCCTGAAATGCCCCTGAAACCTCCTCCAGGCCAGCCGCTGCCACAGCTGTGCGGATGCGGCCAGCGCCGCTCTGTCTGCCTTGGCTGTGAGGGGAGTCAGAGCCTGGAACCCACCGTGGGGGTCAGGATGCCACCCTCCCATCCCAGCTGGGCTACCAAATAATCCCGTGGCCGTCTGGATCGCCTCAGTGGCTCCAGGAGCACCCTGCCCATCTTTTCTAGTTATTTAATATCCTGTTGTTTCCCCTTCCAGGGAATTCAAGGTAATCTACGCTAACTGTAATCTACTGCAAGAGCACCTCCTATCAGATGGATGTGTTAATTAAGAATTGCATCATCCATTCAACCATGTCATCAGCATACTTCTATTTCACCCGGCTTCCCCTCCCACAAGCCATCGTACTGTCAGTTTGCAGCAGCTGAGCTAGGAAAAAGGCTGAGGAGATTTCGTGCATACGTACCTTCCCCACATCGTCTGCTCCTGGCTGGAGCGTGACAGAACACGGTAAATTTGTTGCCATCTGTGGCAGAGGGAAGAACGTTTGTGTAAGAACTTTCAAGTGTCTCGGCAAAACAAAGAAATTTTCTCATCCCCTAGTCTCTAAGTTCAGAAACATAGGGGAATCTTGGTGTAATATCTTCATTATTACAATGCAATGGATTTCTTATTTTGCACCATTATGGGACATTGCTTGTCTGAAAAGGACTCACACATTCATTTATGAGCAATGTATTTTAAACAACCCTAGAAGCCTGGAAAATGGCAGCAAAGTAATATTCCAGACTGAAGAAAGTAAAAAATCATTCTGAAGTGCCCTGCTTCCTCCGAAAGCGGCTGGAGGTGCAGCGATCATTTGCTTCTGTGCTGGCTCTGCGCTGGAGCTCCCCTGCCCCGACCATTGGCAAGCCATTTGGGGCACGTGTGGGAAGCAACAGGCGGGAAGGCTGCTCTGCTGCGCGACCTTCGGGGTGTTACCAGTGGGGTCCTGGCAGGGAACCGCAGCAGGATCGTCCCCATCACCCCACTGCGCTCATAGCCCAGCATTTTCCTTGCGCACAGTCCAGGATGGCTCACACAGCTCTCCTCCACTCCATTTTCATTCTCACAGCAAGTGCCCTGTGAGGCTGGAAGCCCATGCCTGGGCCAGTGAGCTCCTAGGCCGAGTGTGACCAGAAGCTCGGCCTTAAGGTTAAAACTGTTGGATTTTAAAACAAAAGAGGAAGGAACACCTCTGTGCTAGAGAAAAGAGATGAGAAGTCCCTGGAGGAGGGGCAGTTCCCCCTGATGTGCCGAATACCTCAAAAGTGAAGGGGTATGCATTCTCCCCTAGCTTCTTCATCAGCTTGTCTTGCAAGGGAGTGAGGGTCTTGGGCGCCTGATCTGGCACAGGAGGGTAAAGCTGGGTGGTGAGGACATAGAGGTCCTTCCTGAAGGTCAACCCAATGACGTCGAGGTCGTCCCGGCCATAGCGGAATGCACAGGTGAGCGTCACATACACTGGGGGGGAGGGCAGGAGAAAGGGGGACCAGCAGAGGGAGGAAGCATGGGAAGCAGGTGGGTAGAAGGAGATGGGGATGGGAGAGAAGAAAATATTGGTCATGCTGAGTTAGCTCACAATGAGAAGTGTCTTAATTCAGCGAGCACGTTGACCTTTCATTTCCCAGAGGCAAGCCATATTAGCCTATCGTTGCGGGGAGGGGTGGAGCATATAGATGCTCAGTGCAGGGCTCCCAGGAAGCCGGCCCTCTCAGGGGGCTCCCAGCCGCATCCTGAATGCCTCCGGTGTGGGAGAGCCCACTGCCTCCCTGGGCAATCGGTCCCATTGTCATGCTGTGCAGTGGCACAATTGGGCAGCGTACAAATGTTTTCAATCCAAGAATCAATCCATCAGTCCTGCTCCTAACAGTCAGGATGTTCTTCCCAGTGTTCACCTGGAAGCTGCCTTCCTGTAAGGAGAATGCATCATTCCCTGTCCTGTGCTCTGGGATTATTTCTTTGCTCTATCTTACCCAGCCGTTTTTCTTATGAAGAACCCAGAGCTGCTTGCGCAATTCTCCTCGGCCCACTTTTACTCTCATCCCCATTATCTTGTCTTACTTTTACTGTGTCTGGTCCAAAGTCACCCTGCTGGCTCCATGGCCAAGCAGGGACTAGAGCCCAGCTCTCCAGAGTCCCAGCCTCATGCCCTTAACCCCCGCACCATGCTGGCCTTCCTGTCTGTGGCAACCTTTCAAGTGCTTGAAGATGCCGTAAGTGGCGCAGAGCAGAAAAGAAAGAATGGCTGGAGGATCATCCTCTGTTCCCTCGAACAAAGTTGCATTCAGTCAAGCTATTTATGAGATACATTATCTGAGAAGTACTGCTAGACTCACTGGTTCAGGAAGGAGCTTAGAGCAAGAGCTAATACGTAACTGCATCACTAAGATGTGTGCATGCCAAAAAGCAAACAAGAAAGTTACCTTTCCGATCCTTCAGGTACTCCGGGTCAATCAAAACAATCCCATCTGCAAATAAATATGAAAGATAACCAGACAAATATAAAGCCAGTGAACCAAGAGGATGATGGTATTTGATCCATGTGCCAGCCATAGGCAGAAAAGACCCGGAGCAATTTCATTCTTTTGGAGGCCCACCTCTACCTTGGAAACTTGCTACGAAGCCAGAACTGGGATTCCAAGCTCAGAACATCCCCCTTGCCCTTCTAGCCAGTGTGGAAAGAGTCATGTTCACTGCGTCTCCTAAGCCAAGAAGTGATCCTCGAGATGGAGCTTTGGTGGGTGGACGATGGGGCAGGTGCATATGCAGAGGCTCCATCAGCCTCCCTCCTTGGGCTCAGAGGCTTGGACAGCCTGTGGCACAAGAAGCATGGGGACCAGCTCTGCTTCTACACACCTTCACCCCTACGCGGGGTGCCTGGCATCCTCCTCTTAGGCTTCTTAAGACCTGTGAAGTAAACTCTTTGGACATCTTCAATATAGGAAGGATTCCTCAGAACAGTTAGCTAATTTACTCAGCAAAACTGTGTCTTGCGATAACTCAGTCCAAAGCCTCTTAAATGGAAGAGCCACCACTGGGCAGTGAGGCGTCCTTCCTTGTGAGGGCATGCAGGGTAATGAACCACATGGATTTTAAGCACTGCGCATCTCCCTTGCAGCTTGGTGGTACAGTCCTTTTTCCAATCTCATACATGGGAAGTGTTTGACCTGCATGTGTGAATCAGCATCTGTCCTCCCAGAGTCACCTGGTGTGTCGCACAGCAACCATTGGAAGGACCTGGACATCACCACTCACCTACAGGTTCCACATGCTCGACATGGTCCACAAAATCCCGCTTTCCCAGGTAGATGGATAACTGGATAGATAGGAAGGGGAAAACATTAAGAAGTGCATATGAATTTATTCTGCTAGATTCCTTGGGGCATGTTCACACCAGAGACTTCTTGGCATATGTCCTTATGTTTAATAAGGAATGAGAGATATAGGTAGATAGGGAATCTTACAGAAAGAACACTTTTTTCTTCCTAAATTACAGAAAATTTACAACTCTTCTCTTCCTAAAAATATCTTCTTACTTTGTAGCTTTTAGATATCATTTGAGAGATAAAAAGACAGGTGCTAATCTATGAATATCTTGGATGACAGATACTAAATCAGAGAAACTATGGCTGAAAAATGTATTCATAATTCTAAAAGAAAATATTTCATGATCCAAAACTGATTAATCTCCCAGCACACAGGGGATTTTTTTTTGGGGGGGGGGGACAATCTGGTTCTTGAAAGGAAAAAAAATTAAAAATTAGAAAAGTGGGCCAGGCATGTAGAACTACCTTCCTTCCTTCCTTCTTTTACATAAGCACTGAATTGGATGCAGAAATCAACATAGGCAGAAATCAACAAAGGTAGCTTTTGCCACCCAGAACATGTGCTTACAGTACAATGTTAGTTTATGAAGTGCACTTCATTCTCACCTTCCCATTGGGACAGGTCTTCTTATACACTCTGCCAAAAGATCAAAGAGAAAAAGAATCTTAGAGAAAACTAGAAGCTTAAAAAAACCCTACTGCATGAAGGGCAGAATCCTGTACACAGGACCCATCCATGGAGGGATTGTGGGATACTGGGTAAGATGAGATACACCTGTAGACAGGCAGTCCAAGTGCTCAGGGTGGGAACAGGCATGCCACATCCTACATCATGCCAGACACCGGGCGGTGGCAGTGGCTGCTGTTGTCATTTTGTGCCATCAAGTCATCTCCGACTCGCAGAGAATGAAAGCCCTCCAAGATACCCTGTCCGTGGTAGCTCCATTCAGCTCCCCTGAGTTCAAGGGTGGATTCAACTCATTTCCTGTGTGGTCTTCCCTTTTGTCTTCTGCCTTTGATTTCCCTCTAACCTGATTGTTTTCTTGAGGAAATCTTGGCTTTTCATGATGTGTCAAAAGTACAACAGCTTCTCCGTAGTCTTTTTTCCTTCTAGGGAAAGCACCATCTTGATCTGATCTAACACCCACTCCTCTGTCTTTTTGCCAGTCCAGGGTATTCACAAAGCTCTCCTTTAGCACCCTTTTCTGAACAATCGTCCATTCTCTTCCTCTTGGCTTTCTTCGCTGTCCACTTTTTCAGTCCTGTACATTGTGACTGGGAAGGCACTAATTTGGATTATCTAGACCTTGGTACCCAGTAAAATTTCCTTACAATTGATGATCTTTTCTAGTTCCTTCTTTGCTGCCCTTCCAAGTCTGTCTTCTTCAAATTTCTTGGCTGCAGTTCCCTTTGAATGGAGGAATGAGCTGAGGTATATGTATTTATTATATTCAAATCCACTTTTTCCTGCACAAGCTCAATAAAGTTTACATAATAATCCTCCTGCTCTTCCCCATTTTATCTTCACAACAACCCTGGAAGTTCGATTAGGCTGAGAGTCACCCAGTGAGCTTCATGGCCAAGTGGGAACTAGAGCGCAGGTCTCTCTGATCCCAGTCTGGCACTCTATGCACTAAACCACGCTGGCTCCCAAAACTTCATCTCACTCGTTCAGCTTTCCCCCCTTTTAAAGGGATCAATGCTCAATAGTTCTCTGCTTCATGATGAGAGTCTGCACAGCTCGCTTCCAGAACTATGTCCTTCCATACTCCTGCCGAGTGGGGAGCAGCCCAGCCGTTCTTACGTTCCAAATATTGGTCCATTGGTTTTTGTTGGCCTTGCAGTAAACCTCTACCATCTTGAGCTGTAGCTGTATTTCACCTCAGGATTGCATTTCCTTCCTAATGCTCAGCTTTCCCTGGGAAGCCTCTCCTGGGTTCTGGTTAGGGATGGGTGGAAAGTCATTAATCCATCCATGGAATTCCAGGTAAGAAATCTTGTTCTAATTTGAAATCTTGTTCTGTGTAGACACATTTTTGCATGCTCACAATATTAAACTGCATCTTGAGAGCAGTAGTTTGGAAATGTATAGTGAAGGCTTTTAGGTTTTTTCCATGCAGTCTTTCAATGCAATGTTTACTTGTCACTGATATTTGCAATCAGTATATGGAGAGCGCTCTCTCTCTCTCTCTCTCTCTCTCTCTCTCTCTCTGTGTGTGTGGGGGGGGGGGGGCATGGCATCCAGGAAAGCTACAGGTCACTGAATGCTGTCAGGAACCTTATTAGCTTAAAAAGCAGGGCCTCTCTCCTTCCTGCCTCAGACCTTGAGGTATCTTTGATGCAGCTAAAATTAGGGAACCTAATAAATAGTTTTCACCTGTAACCAGAAAAAAGAAAAAGACCTACTTTGCTCCATCAGCCATCTTCAGTTAGCCCAGCGGCAGATATTCTGCAGGAGAAGGCAAAGGGAAGTGCGCCTGGGTTAGCTTGTAGGGCAAAGAAAGGAAGGACTCACCATGCCGGGGCCAAACATGATCTTGCGGTACACTGAGCACCTCCTGCATCCCGTGTACTCTTTGAACCTCCTTCCTTCTTGGTGGGACCAGCAGGGCAGTGTGAGGGCCAGGCATGCATTTAAGCACCCCCTCCCCCCCCCCAGCAGCAGCAGGGGGAGCACAGGGAATAAGTGGGGGTGAGCTCAGGGGCTCAGTGGGGCTGGCGAGGCCAAAGGCAGGCCAGCAGAGGGCTCGATCCTGGTGCCAAGGAAGACGCAAATGGCTGATTGATCGGCAGTGGGGAACGATGGCAACCCAGGGCTGGAGAGAGGTACACGTGATATGCTCTCTGTGAGGCTCCACTTCTCCCAGACTGAAAATGGTGGGGGGACCTGGGCAGAACCCCATTTCATGTTTGGAATAATGGTCTCTGCTATGCTGCAATTCCTCTTTCCCTTCCTCAGAAGGTTTGATAAATAAAAGCAACCTATACCTAAATAGAAAGCATCCCATTTATCCATGATCATAAACCCTTTTTGTCTGAATGAGTTTTAGTGGTCCAGTCTTAGTCTCTGGAATTAAACTCTAAATATCTCTCTTTTTTAATCAGTTGACTTTCAGCAGGCTTAATAGGGATGAGCTCAGCTTCTTAAACTGAGGTAGCGTCATGACCTTAGCAGTTCTTAAAACAAGTGGGAGGCGAGCCAGCTGGCGTGCCAAGAGGACCCGTTTATGCAACGACAGTCACTTGGCCCAGCCACGGTGGAGAAACAGCTGTAGCCATCTCAGACCTGGCTTGAGTTGCCATTGAATTACCTTTTTGTGAAAATGATTATTTCAGAAATCCTGGCCTTCCTTTTCTGGGAAAAAGAGGGAAAATATGTATCTACCTGCAGAACATGATTTAAAATACGTATTATTAAGTCAGAGTTTGGGGATAGCGATCTTGGGAGTTTTGCCTCAGGCTGCAGAGCTGACTGATAACACCCTCTGGATGTTGTCCTCAGCCAGCAGGCTGTGTGTGGCACAGTCTGGCACGGGGGCTTATTTCAGATCAGGGCCCCAAAGCTACTCACCCCTTCAGAATAAAAGTGACTGAGCTAATGGCATTCAAGCCAACAAGCTGGGCTATGGCAGTTCAGCAGGGCTTCTTTGTGAGTGGGACATAGTGGTTTCTTTGATTTATCACAGGTATTTGCACCCCAAACTTTCTGTGCAAGATTCTCAGAGAAACTGACCACACTCAGCCAGTTTTATAATAAACATGAAAGTAATATTTAAAAACAGCAGAATACAAACAAGAGGGTTTTTTGTTTTGTTTTTTTAAGAAAAAGTCCTTTCGGCTCTTTAATTTAAAAGCACTACCTATGGCTTTAAAAAGAGGACTGCCTGTCACCAAAATGACCACAGAGCTGGCACCTGCCAGGCATGGATCTCTTGAGGAAGGGACCACCTCAGAAGGGCCCCAACCCTCCCCCACTTCCCCCTTCAGCTGTGGGAAGGGTGCCCTGGATGGTCACCTTCATACTCCAACAGGCTTATCTGGATAACCCTTATTCACTTACAAGATTTATATACTGCTTCATATTTCACTATGAAGATTCTGGAGCAGTGAACAATAAAAGGTATATCAGAGAAAAGAATGCAATGGCATGTTTAAAATAAAGTCAAGAAAGAAGACTTCAGCAGGCACCAAAATGATAAAATGCTGGCAGCTGCCTGACCACCAGATGTAGGGAGTTCCAGAGAGATAAAGCTGAGGGTCTTCTCTGAAAGTGCTCCAACAGGGTGTCCCAGCTGAAGACCTCGTTGCGTGAGCAGGTTGGAAAGGAAGAAGGCTCTCTTTCCAGTGACCTGCTCCCAGCTGTTTGGGGCTTTACATACTAGCACCCAACCTGCCCTTGACCCAGCGGCTCATAAGCAGCCAGTGCGGCTTCCTTCGCTAAGAAGTCACCTGCTGCAAAGGAGCTGCTCCTGACCACAGCCAAGCCGCTGCATTCTGCCCTAGCTGAGGCATCTGAGGAGTCTCCAGGGGCAGCCCCGTCGGTAGCACACGCCTGTATCTCATCATTTGCTGCTAGCGAAAGGTCTCCATGGGCCACAACCCGTTAGGACCTCCAAAGATACGTTTTGGTCCATCAGAATCCCTGGATCTGATGTCCCTGATCCTTTTGGGAAGAGCACACTTCCATGTAAAGGCTTGCTTCCTCCTCTCACGTCACACCAGAAGAACATCTACCTTGCCTGGATCTCTCCTCCAGCTGGGGACAAACTGCAGGGGAAAGCTGCCTCTATTGTGTCCTGAACCTGATTTTCCAGGGGTAACTGCAGCAGCAACTGAAATTTTAGGTAGTGATTAACTAGTCAACCCTTGTCAATGCTTGAGATCCCAGCCACTTCATAAGTCCAACTTTAGGCCATCTTTCTATCTTGCGCTCCAGGTCGAATCTGGGATAAAAGTCTGAGATTTTAAAAAGCCTTACCTGCAAACAGAATGGGCAGGCTCCTGTCTCTCCTCTCTCGGCTCACACACCTGTTGAACCAACGCTGAGAGGCTCCTGAACCCGGTTCCCTGGCTTCTTATACCTCCTCCATGCCCCCCTCCCCCACCAATGGCTGCTCTTTCCAGATTGGAGCTGTAAAAAAAGATTGCAAACTGAGTATTTTGAGGGCTGAATCCTATTAGACTATTAGTTGAAGGTACTCTTGTTGAGTAAGAGAGTGGGCTATAAATATTTCTTCTACAGGAGCCCTGAGAAAGAAGCTTACAGGGATCGACAAAGCAGGCTCAGGAGGAGAGTAATTAGCAAGGCAGTTTTGCTCTCCAGTGTTGCTTCCACACCTGGAACAGAGTTGCCAGAGGAACTTTGGGAGAAACCACCAAGCATGCAGTGCAAGGAGCGTGTCCTTTCCCCTCTTTGAGAAGAGCTGTTCTAGGCCTAACCATTCCAGTCATTTCCAGCTGATTCATAACTGAGCTAAGCTTAGTCCACTGATAAGCTGCACCCCTTGTTCCCACAATCATATTAAAGAGCCTCTGTCAACAATCTAATGAAAGGAAGGCGATGGATGAGGTCAAGAACTGCCTTCTGGGGAAGAAAGGGGCTTTCCTCAAGAGGAAGGTCCTTTTGGATCCATCCTCTCCTCCCACTCCTCATCCAACCTTCGGTGGACTTCTAGACTGTCTTTAGAAGTGGCCACTCTAAACAATGGCATTATATTGCCCCCAAATCATTCTTTAAAGGTTTTCAGCCAAGAAGATCTTGGAAGGAATAAATCACCTGCAGTAGATAGGTTACCAGTAGAACTATTCCATGCCTCCGAGGCTGAATCAGTCCAAATCCTAACAAGAATAGGCCAGCGAATATGGAAGGAAATGCCATGGCCCACAGACTGGAAACATGCGATAAGGGTTCCATTCTCCAAGAAAGGAGATGCTACTGCACTGGTTTCCTATACAGGCAAAGTTATTCTCAGGATTTTACAATAACAAATATTACACTATAAGGGGTGAGAAATGCCTGACATTTGAGCTGGTTTCTGAAAAGGAAAAGGCATTCAAGAGCATATTAGAAATATATGATGGATACTGGAGCAGACCAAAGAATTTCAAAAGAAGATCATAAAGTTTTGTGCATTACAGACTAGAGCAAAGCCATTAATTGTGTGAATCACTGGAAGCTATGGGCAGTCCTGAAAGAAGTGGTCCTTGGAGGTTGGCTGCCTTGATGCATAACTCATACTGTAGGAAAGAAGTTATTGGTAAGGCAGAATTATAGGCAGAATGGTTTCCTATAGGCAAAGGTGTCAGACAAAGATGTATTTCACCCCCCTTTCTGATTAGTCTGTGTGCAGAACATCTCAGGCTTGATTTGTACATCTCTGTTGTGTCTTCACTTACTTGCATTTTTTCTAAGTTACATAATTCCAGATGGTGTAACCTTACCTCCAGGGAGACTTGTTCCAGCCCCCTTTCTTCACTTTCTCCAAATCTACAATACTCAGGTCAGGTCAGAGGACTAAGTGTGGTCACACCAGCAAATTGTATAAAGGGAGTGCGATATTTACGGTTTTATTTTCATCTGATGTTAAACTGATTACTTAAAATCACACTATTTTCAACAGAACATTAGCCCTCTATTAGCACCAAGGTAGGGTTAGGATTAGAAAAACGAGGTGTCCTGGCCTGATTTTGATGGTTGGAATGTGCTTAGAATGGGCAGAAATGATGAGCGGTGCAGAAAAAGCTACTCAAGGAAGGCTTTTTCAAAATCGCCCCCTTTTCAGTGGAACTTTAGCCCATTTGTGCATCCAACCTGTGGGTTTTTTAAAAATTGAAAATGGCATCAGGTGTGCGGAGGGTGGAAAACAAATGAAGTGGGTTTGTGGCACTTCTTTATATGGGTAAAGCCTTGATGTGTGTCTTGCCTCCATTTTCATTTGGTGCCAGAGTTCCTACGTTGTGCCTGCTATCATAACATCCGTCATCTGTGCACTCACTGCTTGCTGCTGCTGCTGCACCTCTTAGTCTCCCCCTCTAGCAAGCGGATGGTCACTCTAAGACAGGATTCCCATGGCCTGAGCTGAGCAGGTGCCCAGCCAGCACCATCTCTGATCTCCTGCAGTGCCACTGTGAGGCAAAATGCATGTCCACGAGTGTGAGCAGAAATGGTGGGAGGAGGGAACGGCTTGTAGTTGGGGTAGGAAGTCCCCCAGTGCTGGTGTGTAGTCCGTGTTTGGGCGAAAGATGATAAACTTGTGTCTGAAGCGTGCTTTCCCCCGTGTGCTCCATTTTGTTTATCTTCTTAACGCTGCAGGAAAAAGGAGCTTTGCATTTCATAGCCTGCTGGTAACCCTGCTCCTCCTGCCACTGGAGAGGAAAGGGGCAGCCACATCATCCTGGAGGCTCCATGGGGTGGAACCACAAT